CTAAAACATTTTCTCCAGATCTTCAATAATTTCTACAGATCTTTTTTATACCTGCTCCAGTTTTTATCATCCCATTTAAAATGTGGCTAATAAAAAAAGTGTAGTATTCCAATATAATTTTCATTGTCGTTGTTTACAGTATTAAAATATCTCTCACTTTCTGCTTATTGCTCCCATGGCTATACATCCAAGGATCACATTATTATTTTTTGCAACAGCATAGAATAGGTGGTAATAGAGCCCAGGTCTCCTCAGTGCCAGTCCAGTGCCAAATCCACTCACTGCCACTGCCACTGCAACACGTGGGCATGATAAGCCAATGGAGGACTGGTCCACTGAAAGCTTTCCGTCAACTTTGCATCTTCTTCCCGATTTCAGTGGGCTTTAGATCTCCTTATCACACCATTTCTAATGGTTCTGAGGCCCATGGTTTTGTTTTTGTGAAAGGAATGAATATATTCAGCTTCCCTCCACCCCACCACGCTTCCTCCCTACAGCTGCTATTGCTAACCCCAGCCATTGCTCGCTGGCTGATTTCCTGTCGGCCATGCAGCTGGTATGACACAAAACTCAACTGACCCAGCACAGTGTGTTGTATTAAAAACATTTTTTGGATGCTCAAAATTTCATAAAGTAGTAGGAGCTCCTAGTGGAACATCCCTCATGACTTCTCAAGCACCCCTGCAGTGACTGAAGACAAAGGGAGAGAGGTTTTCATTTCCTTTTCTTGGATATTTACACCAAGACTTATTTTTAATGTGACCTGACCCTCTTAGGCAGGCAGCAAGTGCATAGAAAGGAAGGAGAGGAAAAGGAGGAGAAACCTATATTTTACAGCTCACTTCTCTCAGTCAAATTGTTAACTGCCAACTTAATTGTTGTCTCTCAGCAGGATGGAAGCCTGTGTCATTAGGGTGTATTTATAGCTGTTTCCCTGATGGTGACTGGCAGCACATGTGACAGATTTAGGCCCAGAGACTTCAGTTCAGAATAGACGCACACACTGGTCACTGGCACAGGGTCCATGTCCTGGGGTCCCCCCGCCTCGCCCTCCTCCAGCTGTGCGGTAGGCAGCCCTCAGGGAACATACCTTGTTACAGTGAACTTGATTTTATCAGCCACGGCTAATATTCGCTCCAGGTTCTGGGAGCCAAAGGTGCATGGTTTCCTGAACGGGATTCCAGGAGGCAGCCCCTCGATAATCACTGACCCGGGATTGCTTTTAATCCGCTTGTATGGCACTTGTACTGGGTACTTGATCCCCAAGGCCTCACCTGGGAGAAAGACAAACCAAACACACCCATGACGTTTGGGATTCATGCATGATTTCCAGTATCAGGTCCAGTCTTGCAACGCCTGGTTTTCCATAAGCGCGCACACAATCCCCTCGTGGTATGCTGGCATTGTAGAAACAATGTGTGAGCTGCTTAATGGAGCATGTCAATCACTAGATCAAGGACCAACATTTTCAGGCCATCACCATGGGGACGATCAGGACGGAATGGTCCCAAAGCAACTAGTGAGTGCACAGAGCTCCAGCACAGTGACGAGCTGATGAAGCAAAGGAGAGGCAATTAGGGAGCTAAAGCTAAATTAAAAAAAAAATAAAGACAGCTGAAGAGGATGATCATGCAACAAGGCAGGTTGAATGGGAGGTCAGCGCTGTTCACTTTGGGACACTGTTTGGACCTAAACTTCCAGTCCATTTTTCTTCCCCTGTGTCCGTCTGCAGGAGCTGGCGCAGCAACTTCCTCCCAAGAACGTACCATTTCATGGTGGATGGTAGAGAGTGCTCCTGATGCAGACTTCCTGCAAGTTTGGAGAATAAGGTTGGGGGAGGGGGAGGGGGTGGAGGGCACTGATCCAGGATGTGGGAGACGTACGTTGGCTTTGGTTCCCTTCTCTGCCCCAGACCTCCTGCATGATCCTCAGGGAAGTCAAATATTCTCTCTGTGCCTCAGTTCCTCATCTATAACATGGGTATAATAGCCCTCCCCTACCAATATGTGAAAGATTCTGATGTCTTCAGGCACAGTGGTAATAGGGGGCCGATTAGTCCCCTGCATAGGCCCGACAAGGTGGCCACTAGAAATGCACAGCAAATAGGAGAAACGGGTCTGCAGGGCTCAGCCATGCCCTGATGAATGGCTGATACGCTTTTCCCTCATTCTCTTTGCAATCGTCTCCTCTTCTACACAGTCATTTCCCTCCACCCCCATCTCCAGGCGCTCAGACGCATCCTTCTGGCTCTATAATGCTCTGCTAATGAAATTACCAGCTTTGTTCTTCATAAGGGAAAAAAAAATCTGTGTAGGAACCGCAGGCAGCATTAACAAATGCTGCATTCTCCTAATCATGAGAATCTTCCTTGCTGTGTAAGAGCCACCTACACTACCAATGCTTCAACAAAAGCCACTTATTTCCCTCTTCGGGGAATAGACACATCATTCTGTTCTAATCCATGATGAAGCGCCACGTCCCGCATGTGTCCCACAGAATAACAACTGCTCTAGATGAAAAGAGGAAGATGAATGAAACCACCTAGGGAGAAGTTAGAAAAAGAAAAATTCTGGGGAACAGGGAGATAGAAATGGGGGAGGACAGAGCAGAGACAAAGATTCAGAGGAAACAAAAACCACTTGGATTTCTCACCATATTTCTTATTGAACAGATCCTGGACTTGTTCCCTTAGTGTGTTAGCAATATCTATTCTGGAAAGCCTGGCATCATAATTTTCTGTAAAGTAAAGAAACAATTATGGACTTCTGCTGTTAAATTAAAAGGCACTCTGCGATTTTTAAGTAATACTATTTTCTAATTATAGGAAAGTCCTTATCTTGCAATTAACCAATCTCTGGAGTAGGCCATTCAAAGTCCTTAAGAAAGAAATTCTAAACAGAAATATGTATTTTTCTCCCGTTTCCTAAGAATGCTGATTAAGAACTGCATTAAAGCCAAGATTCAATTAAGGTAATTGCTAACATTAAAAAAGAAAAATCATAAGTAGATACAGAAGTAAACCTAAAACCACACTCTCCAAGAGGCAGGGAGCACTCCGAGCATTTGATCAGAGACAATCACTTGGCAGAACAGGTCCAGAAGTAGTCAGGGACCTGGGTTCTGCAGTCAGCCAGGTGGCTCAGCAGGTCAGTGCCAGGCTGCAGTGCATGACTTCACAGATCCCTGTGGAGAGGACCAAGCCCTGGAAACTTGGGTCCATCAGTTAACATGGGCTGAAAATCTGGCCCTTTGTATTTAAGAACCTCTCCATCCCTCCTTATCACCCCTTTATGAGGTCCCATAAAAGAAGTAGGTCTTATCAAAATCTTTACACCAAGGACCTGAATCAGTATCCCACTAAGAACCCCCGCATCTGCAGAGATGACATGCAAACAGATCAACACCCTCTTTCTGGAGCTGAACAGACATATGCAAAGCTTTGTTATCCAGGGAAGCAACCACTTAGAACAGAACACACCTATTGCTGGAGCACGAGTGCCCGCAGACACGTTTCCCGCTTTCCTAGCAGACCGACGTGCAGGATACCAACTTTCCCGGGCAACGGCCACAAGGAGCCAGAAGCACCGCATCTGTGACATGGCAGGCACTGGGGTCACCACATATAACCACTGCCAACAGAGGGGGTGTTTATACTGGGATTTTGGCCAGTAAACCCTGCTCAGACAGGCTGTGGTAAGTCAGTCAGGACAAGCTACAGAAATCCCAACACGACAACACATGGAGTTCCCTTGTAAGGGTCTCTCATGTACCTAAAGTGCCAAACCAGAATGTCACAGAGCCCAGTATCTGCTCCATTCAGATTCATGGATTTTCCTATTGGTGCACTTTCTTGCACCACATCTGATTTGGGAGTGGCACAAATGGTACCAACAGGACAGTAATTGGTTTGTGCATCTGGCACTTCTGGGAACAGGAAACGGAGGTTTTGGCTTTGGTGGAGCCACGCCTACTTAAACATCTGAATCTGGCTAGCTGCCCGGCCAGTCTCAAGCTTATCTCACTGTTGACCTGATAGATGTGTAGCAGGATTTGCAGATTCAAAAAACCTGACAGGGGCTGCAATGTGAACACTCCCTCAGGAGTCAGTAAAACTAAAGTTAACATGCAACTGTGGGGATATGCCAATGATGCAAACTACGTGCACATGTGAAGGAAACGCTCAGGCTACTGGACACTTACTGTATATAGGAACCATGCACAAATGGGGACCTCCTTAAGGCTACAGCGCAAGCAATACTGTGTGCCCGTTTCTGGACCCAGATTTGAACATGGTAACAGAACAGGAGGAGAAGATCTCACTATTCATCATTATAAACCTGTTCCACATCCACTGGAGTCTCCAACTGACTTGAGGAAGCCTTAGCTCAAGCCTTTAAAGAAACTGCCGTGTTTTAAGGGAATCCATAAGACACATTTAAAACTGAGACCATATTGGGAAGAAAAACAAATGACACTATTCTGTAGGACAGGGCAGAGGGAGGACAGTATAGATATGACCTGCTATGACCGCAGCAGTGCACCACTGAACACTGGTATTTATATATACAGCATAAAGGTGCAAAAGCCACAAAAATGCAAACTCTGGGGCTTGGAGTGCTTAATTATGTGTCTTGCAAGGTCAGATTGAGAGATAATTGAGTCACTTAATTACGGCACATTCCAGAATGCCTCTCAAGCCCTCTGTGTTTGGAGCGATGAAATAACCTCGCCTCTTCTGTGCCTCTGCCCTCATTCAATCCTGCTGTCCTTCCTTTTGATCCAGCCTGTACTATTGCCAAAGTGCTCCCTCTTTCGTCTTTTCCTGCCGATCTCAGCTTTGGGCATTTCCTCTCTCTGCCTGCCAAGTCTTCACAGCCCCCAGGCCAAGAGCTCTGGTCTGGAAACACAGGAGAGCAAGTGCAGCGTTCTCCCAGTGCTGGAAGGCATCGCTTTCTTCACTCATCTCCTCCACCCTCCTGAGCCTGAATGGGATGCTACCCCTGTAGATGCACCAGCCTATCTGGGAAGAAAAATCATCCAGAGGTGAAAGTACCAACCTGGAATTCAACAACTAGGGTTTCAACTCCCTACTCCACAACAGACTTTCTGCATGACTCTGGGCCGGTCGCACAGAACCTCGGGACCTCAGTTTCCCCATGTGGGAAATGAGAGTTACGATATCAGCCTCCCTTACATGGGTGCTACACAGATAGAAATGCTGGTGATTATGACATGGCCAAATACTGTGCTAATGGGGGTTGTAATAGTGCCAAGATGGAAATGGTTCGGTTCTTGCACTCCAAACACCACACTACAACTAGATATTAAGAATAACTAAATGCTAGAGTATTGCTATTTTCTTTCCCTCACTATAGCATAAACCTTGCATTTACTTAAACAAGAGCTCCACAGTCTATGTGCATCCTAAAGCCAACCCTCTCCCCCACCCCTTCCAGGTTTATAGAGGACTGGATCCCCAAGAACTCTTTCATGTACTTCAAATATATTCACACTCACAAGATCTATCCGATTTCCAAAAGCAGCCCAGTCTTACCTTGAAAGCCCTGCCTTTTCGCAGCCTCATCCACCAGGGAGTCACTGGAGTCCCTCTCGCTGGCTGCTAAGATGAGACACAACAGGAAGGCTTAGGACTCTGTGCAACTGAAGCAGCAAATAAGCAGTGGGCTCCTTTTCAAAGGTGCTGAGTGTCTCCGACTTCCACTGTGCTACACAGGTTTGCAGCACTTGCGAAAAGGCAGCCCCAGAGATGATGCAGCGAGGGCACAGTTTTGGCAAATGCTCCAATTCCTTTTATACCACAATTGTACTGCCCTGGTCATCTGCAAAGTTCAAAATCCTACCTTTGGCTCCTGGGCTGTCAGAAGCAGTCTCCTTAATTCCCTCCGCAAGAAGTTCTGGTCTGGAAAACATTGAAAAAGCAGCTGAAGGGTGACTGAGGTACTAGCTCAGTAAACCTTCAAGATTTTACTGCTACAATCCATCACTGAAGATAACGCTCCTACACCCACGAACCCACTAACCATGCCTGGCTCATACAGTTTTAGACTTCTTGCAATATATCAGGGAAAGTTTGGAAATAATTTTTATGCTGGCAAAATCTATGGTGAGCCAATGTAACCCTCCCTCTCCAGGATAAGATTCAGGTCACAACTGCAGAGCATCTGAAATTGCAGGCTATTAACGTCTAAAAGAAACAGTACTCCCAGTTGATAGAAAATGTTCTCCTTGAATATAGTGCCCAGAGGAGCTGGCACCTGGTCAGCAAAGGCCAGAAGAGGCTGCCTACTGTAACAATATTCACACATGCACAGCCACAGAAAGTGAGAGAGTCTGCACAGCCCTGTAGATATAATACAGCTCCTGTCAATACACAGTGCAATACAGATAATTTTCCCCACTGTTTTTCATGATAAGAACAGACCACGATATGCCATTGGAACCTGTTACAAACCCTGGGAGTATTTAGAGAGGCTTCAGGAGACAGAGTTCTTGCAGTGGATGAGACAGAAGTTAAATCCCAAACCCCACTTTCAACCTCACAAATTAAATATGTGGCCAGGTGCCACACAAATCTGTGACCAACTTCTGATTTTCCATTTCAGTTGCTAACCCTGACTTGCTGCTCTCCTCTGCGGGAGAGGCTGTTCCCAGGGGCAGAGTAGCACATTTCTATGGGCCAGAATTAAATGCGTCTCCTTAATGAGCCACAGGATCCAGAGGCTGGAATTAGTCAGCAAGAGGTAGCAAAAGCTATCTGATACATAAATGACAATCAAATGCCCCAATTCTGACCTTAAAGCTAGTAATTAAGCAACACTAGAGAATACATGCCATCTCAGTCAGTCAAGCTTAGCTGTCTTGTCATCAATGTAATTATTCTGGTTTGGGGGGGGAAAAAAAAAATACAGGAACTTAAACTAGATTTAAGTTAAAGTCCTGTAGTTATACCAGCTGGAAGACCGATCAAATCAGGGTGCCCAAATTAAGCAGAGTTAGGCTGGGTTATCATTTGGGTGACAGACCATCAAAATAATACCAGTAGCCTGAAATTTTCAGTCAGCCAAGGTAGTTAGACACCAGGTGGCCACAGAAATTAGTGGGAATTGGAGTTAAAATCACCTTCAGTGGCTTAGGAAATCTGAGGTACTACAGGATCTCTTGGGTGCAATTTAGTAAACTGATTTGCTCCAACCTGATTTGGGCTGCTACAATATCTCACCATTCCCCAGGTCCCTGGTGTTAAGGAAGAGTGACCTCCTGGAGAAGCCGTGATTCAGAAAGGATGCAAAAAGAAGACTCTGACTGCCTATCAACACTGAATATTCATGATGCTTTCCTAAGTGTTTATGGATCAATTATAACTAGGATAGTTGCAGGGTGAATTCCCCCAGCAGTGTGTCCAAAGAATTCTTTAACGGAGGAAAAGTCCTACATTCACCTCAGATTATCAGAGAAACGCAGTTTGTAGAATCAAATGCATTAGTCCCTATTTCCAGAGCAAGTTTTACATTCAGCTCTTCCCTTCCCAAGCATTTGAACCAGAGACTGGAATGTAAAAGGCTTCGTATCCTATTACAAATCTCATAAGCTATTCATTCTGCCCCTCTTCCACCACTCTGTCAAGTTGGCCACCTCTTTACAAAGGTAGGGAGGAAGAGATGGATAATGTTTCTCCTTTTTGGCAACTATTCAAAGTAAAGTAATTTGATCACTCTCGCAGGGCAAATTTATTGAACATGACCGAGCTGCAGGCGCTTTGCAGATCGCTTGGAACAAAAGCTCAGGCAGGAGTTTATCCTGTATTCTTAGTGGTAGGTCCTTGGATGCCAAGAACAGGTGCCTTACCTTTTAATGACAAACTGGATGTTGTTGCTAGCTTGCAATATCTTTTTCAGCTTTGCAATCCCAAAGCAGTTAGGACGTCGGAGTAAGATGCCTTCAGGCAAGCCCACGACAAAGAGGTCTTCTGGATGCATCAGGAACTTGGAATAGGGGACTTTCACAGGCTCTGAAATTCCTATGGCTTTAGCTGAATGAAGATCAAATCTCATTAGTTCATTAGACCTTCAAATTGGGCACATCCCACATTGCGTTTTTGAGTGGCGTGTGCATGTGTGCGTGTGCATGTCAACGTGTGCATGCACGCAGAGGGAGGGCTTGGTATGTTCTATTCCTCATGGGAATACCTCCATGAACCTGACTTGAATCGACCGTGGAGTGCTCTATGGAAGCAACAGAAAAACCTGTTAAATGATCTTGGATTGCCTTTTGAACTTGCTTAACGTAGCATGTAACCAACCTCCCAGCAATATTGTCAGTGGGGTTTCCTTAACCTGCCAGGATAACCCCTAATTCTGTAGAAGAGTATGCTCCATCTCTATCCACTGGTTCTCTGCAACTGCTGACTTCTGATGAGGGAAGTCTGAGCAAAGGGGGAATCGCTGTATAGTGCCAGGTCTGTAGCACAAGTGGGGGTGTTGCAGGTCCCACTCTGCATTGCTGTGGGCATAGCTGATACCACACAGACTGAAACTAGAAACTTCCGAAACTGAAAGCAGAAGCTGCTCAAGCTCTCTAGCTGGAATAGTAACGGACTGCAGTCTGATGCAGGGTTGACCTGATAGCAAGCGTTTACCAGCGGGTTACACAAGTCACATCATGCAATAGGCAGCCTCATTAGTTGACTGAGTTCTGGTGTGACCCCAGAGAACTTATAAACTGTTACAGAACTGGTTGGGTGAATTAATTGCTGGCAAAATGTACCAGACTGACTGGCTGAGCAACTGAAATCCTCTGTTTATCTTAACCACGCTCCACCAACATATATTACTTTGAGGGGAAGAGGCATGTAGGGAGTAAGGAACAGCTCCATCTCCACAATGCAGTTAGTCCCGGACTTCCCTACAGAGACTGCCAACAAAGACGGCAATTAGGAACAGCCATGACAATGGCTCTGTGACACCTGCCCATTAGGAACTGTACTGAAAACCCAAATTCACTGTACTGTACATAGGGATGTGTACAAGATAACAGCCTTCAGGGGGCCTGTAGCAGCTAGTATGTTTTCAGGGGCTGAAGCTACCTGCAGCCAGTAAGCGACTGATTGCAGGCTTGCTAGGAGGACTGGGCCAACTGCAGGGGATAATTACCTGGCATCCAGCAAGCAAAAAGGGCTCCCAAGGAAGGGAGCCAGACTTGGATAGAGCTGCAAGCAAGAGTGGAGTGTGGGGAGGGAGAGAGCCAGCGAGTCAGCTCGTGGAGGAGCCCGGGGATCACACCAGGAGTGCCTCCTCTCCCAGAGGACTGTGAGTGCAGCAGAGGGACTGTAAGTCCCTTTCTTGTGACTGAAGGGACCTGAGAGATAAGCGAGAGAGCAGGCAAGTGGCAGGAGAACCAGGCCCAAGAACTCTCTTTGGGTCTGGGAGAAGACCCTGTGTGATACAAGTGTTAGGTTTTATGGCTTGGGTTGTTTATGCTGACTCCTGCCAGGAGGGAGTTTGCCCCAGAGGAATAAAGATAGTGGGGAAAAAAACTGTAAGCAAGCCTGAAAGTTTGGGTGTTTGAGCAAGCAAATCCCCAAACCCGCTCCAGGGTGCTTATACCCAACAGCACCATAAACTATTCCCAGAGAAAGTGGTGGGGATTTTCCATCATTCATACCAATTCCTGAGCACCTTTGAAAACCTAACAGGCTACTGCAGTCACTACAAAATAAAAACTTTTGATCAAGAAGGAAAAGGAAGCAAAGCAAAGCAAAGCTCCACAACCAGTCACCAAAACTGGGGAAAACCTACCAGGTCCTAATTAAGGCTGATTATTTGGTGTGCAACTCTTTAATAAAATAGTATCACTATTTGTGCAACCCTGCACAAGGATCATTTCCACCTTCTACAACAGTAGCAAACAAAGCAGTTTCAAAAGCGGTTTTCAGCCAGGTCTGACCGCTCACGTTGGTTCCTAGCCCAAATGCAGGACCTCCATCTAACCCAGGAGGTGCACAGCCCCACCAGGGGAGATGCATTGTTGGACCTGGTGCTGGCCACAGGCCTGGTGGGGGGGCTGCGGGTGCTCGACCACCTGGGCGACAGTGATCATCGCCTGCTGGCATTCACCATCCAGCGCAGGGTGGCAAAGGCCTGCAGCAAGGCAGCAGGCCTAGATTTCAGGAGGGCAAACTTCAGTGAGCTAAGGAGAATAGTCGGGGAGATGCTGAGGTCCCGGAGGGGAGGGGAGCCAGGTGTCCAAGGAGAGTGGTCGCTCCTCAAGAAGATGATCCTCTGAGCCCAAAGGGAGGTAATCCCACCACGGATCAAAGGGAGCAGGAGGGTGCAAAAGCCCCCATGGCTCACCAAAAGCATCCAGGAACATCTCCTAGCTAAATGGGAGGCGCACACCCAATGGCAGGGAGGCCATCCCCAGGGAGGACTAGACTGTGGCTGCTCGGGGCTGCAGGGGGGGGCGGTCAGGAAGGCCAAGGCGGAGATGGGACTGGGACTAGCTTCCCAGATCAAGGACAACAAGAAGTCTTTTTTTAAATACATAGGGGGCAAAAAGAAGGTACCGGGTAACGTGAGGCCCCTGCAAGACACGCTAGGAAATTTGGTCATCACACCAGATGACAAAGCTAACCTATTTAACTATTTCTTTGTCTCCATTTTCCT